AAAAAAAAAAAAGCAGCTTCCCATACAGCTGTAGGTCACTCTACAAAAAAAAGTCATCTAGCAAAGCCCAATATGGCACCAGCTTTGTTCTGGTAAGGCCCCGGAATGACAAGATTCCACAGTAGCCAAAGACATGGAGCAGAGGGACAGCCCTGGGTGCACAGCAGGGCACTGAGCAAGGTCAAACACCCCGGAAACTTCCCCTGGTCACTCCACTGGCAGAACAGAGAGGCCCCACCTATTGTGGTACAGGAGGGTGCAGGGGAGGGGCAGGACAGAGACTAGGAAGCTGGTCTAGACCAAGATCCTTGAGAATCAGGAAGCCCTTGTTAAAATAAGGATCTAGACAAAGCGTATGGACAGGCTGGGCGTCACATCCCAGTGAGGAACGTGAGAATCTCCTGGCGTGCAGGAGGTCAGCTACCTCTTCGGAAACAGGTTCTACATCACCTGTGCATGTCCACATCTGGAAGACATTGTCTGATCACGCCAAAGACTGGCAGGTGTCCTACTGTGTCCTAGCTGCTTCCCCAGAGTGCTGGAAACCACAGCTATGGTCACTGTCCTATTCTGACAGGTAGCACCAATGTTCACATGCTAAATTACATAGCAGCACCTTACCACGCAGCCCCAAACCCAGCATGCGCAGGGAAGGGTGGGAAATAAGCCACACACCCGTGCTTCCCATCAGGCCCACTCAGGGACCATCCCGGTTCTAAGGAACGCTGACTCTCCCCTCTCAAACAGATCCATGGAAAGTTTTCTTTAAATAAGTATTTCTGGGGCGCCTGGTGGCTCAGTGAGTTAAGCGTCTGCCTTGGGGTCAGGTCAAGATCTCAGGGTCCTGGGGTGGATCCCCGCATCAGGCTCCCTGCTCAGTGGGAGCCTGTTTCTCCCTCTTCTTCCCTTGTTCTCTCTCTCTCTGTGTCAAATAAATAAATAAAAATCTCTTTAAAAAATAAACATAGATAGATATAGATATACATAAATAAATATTTCCATGGGGCATTTGAGTAAGAGTATGTATAAAGAATGTGCTGACTCAGGGTGCCTGGGTGGCTCAGTAGGTTAAGGCTCTGTCATGATCTCAGGGTCCTGGGATCAAGCCCCACATCGGGCTCTCTGCTCAACAAGCAGCCTGCTTCCCTTTCTCTCTCTTCCTGTCTCTCTGCCTACTTGTGATCTCTGTCAAATAAATAAAATCTTTAAAAAAAAAAAAAGAATGTGCCGACTCATGCCTTTTCTGGAGCATCTACTTACTTTGGCCAAGGGCTTTTCCACTTCCACGGAACATTCCTCTCTTGGGCATGTGCCGGCCCCTTCCTGCTTGTACCCCTATTGCCACCTTTATTTGTCTGTCCCCTCTCTCCTCCTGCATTCACAAAGGTATCCTTCAGGAGGCCTTTCTTGGGGACCTCATATCTTTTCATTCTTTCTCTTTGAAGCACTGCCTTTAATTGTCACCTCTGTGCTGATGGTAATAGTAGCTGACAACACAGGTGTTCACGATGTGTCATGCCCGTGCCTGGCACTGAGGGATTAGACGTGGTTAATGTCCCATTTTTATGGAAGTGACGAAGAAGGACTGAGGCTTGGTGGTGGGGTAGAAGGAGGGAGGTTGAAGTAACCAGCCACCCAAAGTCACAGAGACACTGTCACCCTAAGGAGCACAACCGGGATTCAAACCTGGCCAGTGAACCTCCAAGCCCCCACTGGTAACTGACGCCTTTCCATACTCCACACAGTTCTCTATGTTCCCTCCTTCCCATGGCCTTCCCAGACCACCAATCCTGGCATGGGGCTGGGGGCTTCAGAATGCTGCTGGCCTTGGTCCTCACCATGGCTACACCTGTGGTTAGCTACTGTTAATACTGCCTCTGCCTCTTCTTCCTCCTCCTCCCTCTCTCCCCACAAACAAGTTCCTCCTCCTGACTTCCTAATTTCTGTGGCCCTTACCTCATTCTCCACTTCACATTACAGGGAGCCTCCTCTGAGCCCTCCTCTCCTCTCTAGGGCTCACCTTCAACTGGCTGCCTTTCCCTGTGGCTTTGACCTCCTCCGCCCTTGGCTAGTCCTCCCTGATCTCCTCCTTTCCTCTCCCTATGGCCTCCTCTCGGGAACAGACCCCTACTCCCAGCCCAGTTTCCTTGGCCTCTGCTGGACTCTCCTTCTCCCTACCCCTTCCTCGTCCACGAGCTTGAAGCCAAAGCCTGACCTCCTTACCTTGCTTCCTCATGGGAATACACCTTCTAACCAAGGTGGTAACCCTTACGTCTGCAAATGCCACCTCAATTAGAAATCCTCATCTAGGGGTGCTTGAGTGGCTCAGTCAGTTACACATCTGACTTCGGATCAGGTCATGATCTCAGGGTCCTGGGATCCAGTTCCGATCTGGGCACCCCACTGGGGTGATGCTCCTCCCTCTTCCACACCCCTACCCTGCTTGTGCTCTCTCTCTATCTCTCAAATGAATAAATAAAATCATAAAAAAAGAAATCCTTACACAGAAAAGGCATTTCATAAATATTTAATAAATCCAGTCAACTGATACCCACTTGTGTTTCCAAAGTTTTCTACCATATCCAATCACAACCTTCTTGCCCTTGAAACATGCAAGTGATTCCACTCTGTGCTAACCACAGCCTGGCCTCCCTACCCCCTGAGTGGGTGGAGGCCTCACAGATGCTGCTGAGGTCTCCAGCATGTTCCTTTCTGCCCCTCTGTCCCCAAGCCCGGACAACTGTCCCATCTGCCTGATTCCTGAGCATTCATACGCAAGGCACAGCGGCAGTGCTGGGGGCCCCGCTGATGGTGACACCCAGTGCCTGCCCTCTGGGAGCTCCTGACTGCAGCTGCAGGAGAGAGAGTCACACGAAGGGTCAAATGGTGACCCACCACCTATCTCTGGCAATACCGAAGGAGCCGTGCAGACAGCAGTGCTGGGACCATCTAGCTGAGCACCAGCCTCACCAAGACATTCACGGCGCCCTTGGTCCACGCAGAGTCCTGCTCCACTGTTTACCAGCCCTAGCAGCGTGGCAATGTTGCCTAACCTCTCTGCCACACCGTTTCCTCATCTGTAAGATGATGGTAAACCAGCTACCTCTTAGGGTAGTTGGGAGGCTTAAACGAGGAGCATGCGTAAAGGCTTTAAAATGCTGTTAGCTGGGCAGTCAGTTGGCTCAGTCGGTTGGTTAAGCATCTGACTCTTGATTTCAGCTCAGGTCATGACCTCCTGGCCTTGAGACTGAACTTCCCAGTCGGCTCCCAGCTCAGCGTGGAGTCTGCTGGGGGGTCTTTCCCTCTTCCTCTCCCCACCGGAGCACCTCTCTCTTTCTTTCCCTCTCTCTCAATCTCTCTCCCTTGAATAAATGTTAAAAAATACATCTTTTTTATTAAAAGATGTAATTTATTTGTCAGAGGGAGAGAGAAAGAGCACAAGCAGGGGGAGCGGCAGGCAGAGGGAGAAGCAGTCTCCCTACTGAGCAAGGAGCCTGATGTGGAACTCGATCCCAGGACTCTGGGATCATGACCTGAGCTGAAGGCAGATGCTTAACTGACTGAGCCACTCAGGCGCCCCTAAAAATAAATCTTTAAAAAAAAAAAAAAAAAGAACAGCGTTAGTCACAGGCTGTGCACAGTAAAGTTAGCTATTATTTGATATAAAGTGTTACAGGAAATTAGAGATGAAAGACATCTTTGCAAAATCTCTCTCAGGATCTCAGATACCGTCTGAAGTATAAGGCCAGCGGGGAAAAGGAGTATAAACAGAAAGTTCTCTCCCCCTGACCTTCAACTCTAACTCCAAACCCAGACTTCCTTTCTGCGCACACACACACAACCCGTACCGCCCCCCCCCGCCCCTACCCACTCCTGCAAGCAGGTGTCAGTGGCTGGGAGCCCTCTGAGCCTGGAGGCTCCTGGTCTCACCCTGTCTCTGGCCCTTCGGCTTTACAGACACACTTGCTCAACCAACAGCTCTTCGCTGAGGATCCATCCTCCCCCAGCTCAATGAGGGGCAGTGGTGGGCTTGCAGTCCCCCAGTTCAAAACCATAAACTGACAAACGTTAGGAAGGAACAGAACGTGTGGCACGTGAGCAAGCAATAGAGCCTGCTGGGCGCAATCAGGAAAGGCTTCCCTGAAGAGGTGACATTTGGGCTGATATCTGAAAACAGGTGTCACACTTTGAGGCATGGGAAGGCAGGTCTCTGCCCTAATTTTTCCCACCATGACAATGCCTGCAGTGGGACCTACAGGTTGGGCAGAGCCCTCAGGAAATGGGGCATCCCAGGGCAGGATCTGAACCTGGTCAGGGAAGCCACAGCACCAGGCTTCTCCACGCACTTAGGGGCCAGGGCTGTGGCGGGCAGCTGTGAAGCCAAATGCAAGCAAGCAGGGTCCCAGATAAGAGACTTTGAGGTGTGCTGACTTCCTGCTCCTGCCTTAAAGGCGGTTGCTCCGAATGAGGGGTTACAGGCTCTTGAGGGGCACCTGGGGAGCGACAGGACTAGGGGAAGAGGACTGGGGCAGGCGGACGCTGGATGCCGCCAGCAGCTCTGCGCCGGGACATAGACCCGGGGAACGGACTCCAGAAACAGGCGAAGCTTCTTGCGGCGAAAACCCTCTTGGTCTCCAGGGGGAAAGCGGGCGCGAACCGGGCTGGGACAGACCGTTCGTGTCCGTGGACCTGGAGAAGACAGACAGTCCCCGGAGTGCGGGTGGGGGGTGCCTGCCGCTGTCAGCTGGCGAGGCTCACCCTGGTCCCCCAGATCCGCGCCTGGCGCAGCCTCGGGGACATCGGCGGCTCTCCCCGGACCGTCCGCTCCACGCCTGGGTCTCGGGATCCTCGGCCGGGAGATAGGGGCCCCGCGCCGCCGGGGCCCAGGGGCCAGGGGACCCGGGGACCCGACCCCGGGGGCTCAGGGGCGCGCGGCGGGCTCGGGGCCGGGCAGAGAGGGCACATGGCAGCGGACAGGTCCCCCGGCGGCGCCGACTTACCCAGAAGTTCGCCTTGAACAGTGCTCCCGTCATGGCCGGCGCGCGTCGCAGGGGACGAGCCGAGCGGAGCTGCTGGCAGGCGCCGGGTGACTGGACGGTGGTAGCCCGCTGTCCCACAGCCGGACTAGGGAGTCGCCCGGCCGCCCGGAGGCCGCCCCAGGTCCTAAACCACGCCCGATAGCGCCCGCCCAGGGCGCACAGCTCCTCCCGAAGGGCAGCTCTGGAGTCCAGCGCCAAAGCCCATGCCCACGCCCAGGGAAAACCCCGCTATCTCTGTGACCCTGGAATTGCCCCCTCGCTCAGGAAGCCTTCAAGGATTGCAAGAAACTGGGCCTGCCAACTTCCCGAATTTGACTCCCTTCCCACCGACGTGCTCCCTCCTCCCCCGACCGAAATCCTGACGGAGAAATCCAGGCTCAGCCTGATCAGAGGTCGCATGGACCAGGTGTCAGCTCCGCAAAGCTTGAAGACTGACCATACCAGCGGATGTTTCAGCCAGTCCTGCGTTCTACACCAGACGCATTCGCTACCGATGAGCCCCTGGCCAGGTTTTCGTGTAAAAGTCAAGGAAAGGTCATTGATATTATTAGCCCTTGACTTTAGGTCCCTTAAGGTGTCCTTCCAAGGCCCCCAAGAGCTCAGCTCCTCCCTGACCTCCTCCCATTTCTCAAGACCCAAGACCCTTTTCCACCAATCCCACTCCAGTAGGAGCCCAGAGCCTCCTTCCTCCCCCTGCACTCTTTCACCCTTAGGACATGCATAACCCCAGGACAAGGCAGACCCTTCCCTGCTTTGAAGTACTGTGGTGCTTTGGGACAAAGTACTGCCCTGACCTACCTGCCCTGAGCCAAAACTGTGGCTCAGAGAGGCTGAATGACTTGCCCAAGATGCCAGGGTATTAAACAGGTGAAGAGCTGGATTAGAGTTCTGCCCTTCTAAACATTGCCAGGGCCAAAGACAGATGTCACCCCTGGGGCAAATGCACCCTGGGCAAAGAGCGGGTGCTCAAGGAAGGGAAGATGAAGATCAAGGGTACCAAGACTGAGTGCTCATGGCCACCTCCGACCACAGGCCTGGAGAGGCAAGCATTTGCCCTTTGGGTAGGTTCTACCTCTGTCCAGACACAGTGGAGGGCACTTGCTGGGCTGATCTGAAGGATAGCTAAAAGATCCTGCCTGAAAATAGCACACCCAGTCGCCCTGGGATGAAGTCCCACTGCAGGGTTATCCACAACTAAGATGAAGTGACTCCAGCCCTGGGTCACTCCAAGGGGCATGTACCCAGCCATCTGGGTGTCCATCCCTTTGGAAAGCAGTGAGGTTAGGAGAAGGGGAAGCCTGGCAGCACCACCTGGAGGCAGGAGAGGACATGGTGGGCACCAGGAGGAAGGATGAACTGCAGGAGAGGTAAGAAATAGCATGAACTGGGGTCTTGCCTTCGGCTCAGATTGTGATCCCGGGGTACTTGGATCATGTGCTGTGGTGGGCTCCCTGCTCAGCAGAGAGTCCGCTTCTCTCTCTACCCCTTCCCCTGCTTGTGGTGTCTCTCTCACCTCTCTCAAAATAAATAAATAAAATCTTCCAAAAATATATATATATATCTAGGGCTGGGTGGCTCAGTCAGCTAAGTGTCTGACTTCAGCTCAGGTCATGATCTCAGGATGCTGGGATCGAGTCCCTTGGAGCCTGCTTTCTCCCTCTCACTCTGCTTCTCCCCTCTGCTTATTCTCTCTCTCAAATAAATAAATAAAAATCTTTAAAAAAAAATAGCATGAACTGGAAGTTGAAAGAAGTTGAAGTTAAGGAAGACAGCACCAAGATTTTTCCTGGAAGTTTTTAATATTTGGGGGTCGATATTTTAGACACAATTCTAATTGTCTAAGTTTTAACTTTATATATATACACACACACACACACATATATACATATACATACATACATATTTGGAAGTGTTCCAAATGTTCACAATGCATATAATGCTTGATTTTCACAGCTCTGGGTCCAAAGATCCCTGTATTTTAACTCTCTTCCACCACCTGGTGGCAGAATTGAAAATTACAAATGCTTGTCCACACTGACAGAAAATACTATGCTTTCATTCCTCAACCTTATTAAAGTCATCGTCTGAGCAAGGTGTTGTGAGTAAAAAGACAAATAAAATGATACTATATCTAAGGGTCTACAACCATTTGGAGAGATTTTACTAACAAAGTTAAATAGCAATAGCAATTTTGCTATAGCAATTTTGAAATGACATTAAATGATCAGTACTTTTAAGATAACCACTGTTAATATTTTGGCATAATCTCTTCCAATAAAACACATTTGTTGTACATAAAATTTTGAATCTTGCTTTTTTAACTTAACAACATTTCATAAGTATCTTCTAAAGTCATTAAATGCACTTTTCCTAACAAAAACTTTGATAGCACCCAGTGTTGGCTAAATGGACACTCTTGCATGTAGAACTTGAAAATCTCTAGGAAGAGAAATTTGGTCATGTCACCAAAATTTAAAACGCGCTTATATTTTGACCCAACAATTCCATGTCAAAGACATAATTCCAAATATATTCTCACATGGGCAAAGTGAAGTATGTATAGTTATTCATAGCAGCATGGTTATTCCAGCAAAAGATATGCAACAGCTAAATGTCTATCAATGGAGAATCGGCTTAATAAATTGTGATATATCTTCATAATGAAGTAATAGTCAAGCATTAAAAAATGAAGAAGTTCTTTGTGTATTGATATTGGATAATCACCAGATATTAAGTGGGAAAAAAAAGGATGCAAAACAAGCTGCTATTTGAGTAAGGCCAGAAAAATTCACACACATGCGTGCACAGACACACACACATACCACACACACGCACTTTATTTTTATTTGTTTTTTAAAGATTTTATTTATTTATTTGACAGACAGAGATCACAAGTAGGCAGAGAGGCAGGCAGGGTGGGGGAAGCAGGCTCCCTGCTGAGCAGAGAGCCCGACTCGGGGCTCAATCCCAGGACTCTGAAATCATGACCTGAGCTGAAGGCAGAGGCTTAACCCACTGAGCCACCGTGCCCCTTATTTTTATTTTTTTAAAGATTTTTTATTTCTTCATTTGAGAGAGAACACAAGCAGGGAGAGAGACAGAGGGAGAGGGAGAAGCAGACTCCCGAAGGAGCTGGGAGCCCAAGGTGGGGCTGGATTCCAGGACCTGGAGATCATGACCTGAGCCAAACGCAGACGCTTAACCCACTGAGCCACCCAGACACCTGCCCCCACACACATTTTAAAATGGTTCCCTCTAAGGAGGAGATGGGGCTGAGGGAACATAGGAGTGGGGGAGAACTGCTTTTCATTTCATGCCCTTTGGACCTCTGAATTTGTGAGTTTATTACAAATGTCCCCAAAATTTAAAAAAAAAAAAAACAATATTATTTTTAACTTTTGCAAAATTTCCCACTGAGTGGATATACCAATATTCCTTAGCATTTCCCTAATGCATTTAGAAACATTACTGTGACAAATAGCTTTTTACATGAATCTTTGTTAAAATTCCTCATAGTCAAATTACAGTTCAAAAAATATAAACATTTTTAAGGTTCTTGGAATATAGTGCCAAATGCTTTTCCAGAAAAGTTGTATCGTCTGTACTCTTAGCAGTGGAGGAAGGGGAAGCTTTCCCCAGAGGCTTCAGTGGAAAGATTCCTCCAGGGAAATGGGTGGGATAAATGATGATGAGCTGCCAAAATAACAAATACCCACTGTCATCACCAATTCTCCTTCACACTCTCACGCAGTCTGATGCCTACATCCCTTTTCCTCCTTTTCCTCCCACCAACCCTTTCTAGTCATTCTTCCTTAAAACTTAACTGCTTTCTTTGCACGTCTCCCCTCCTCACAAAGCTACCAAGTTTCCATGTTGTCCATTGGAGTGAAGTCCCAAACATTTCTGCCTGACTTTCAAGACTTTCCTGGGTTTGGCTCTCCCCTGACCTTTCCGATCTCATTGCCCAGGTTCCTGCCCTCCCCCAATCTGAGCCAGTCAGGTTCCCTGTTCTGCCACCCCATCTTTGCCCATGCTTGGCGGGCTACCTGGGTCACTCTTCCTCCTGCTCAAGTTCCACCCGTCACCACTTCCTCAACTTCTCCAGCCCTGGGTGTCTTCTCACTTCTCAAATCTCTGGAACTTGTCATCTATATCACACAAACTAGCCCTTCATAATGTATTGTTGATATCCTAATGTTCTCTCATCTCTTACCTCCTCAAGAAGACTTCAAAGGACCCAAGGTGAGACTGACATTCTCTCATGTTGTCTCATGGATTGGACAATGACAGATCCCGCCAGGGAATTCAATAAACTCTCTCTGATCATCAACAGTTCTACCAATTTTTCTTTCAGTTCCCATAGTAGGAGTCAGCTGTGTCAGTAGGTCTGTCAAGTCAATGTCAAAATGAGAGGCTGGATTTTGTCAGTAAGGTTGGAAGCTGAGTAGATGGAGGAATGGATCAGAGGCTCAGGACAGACAGGAATGGAATACAAGGGACAAACATCAGGAGGTGGCTGAAGGGCCCAGGGGCTCATGGCATGGTGGGTGAGGAGCTCTGGACTGCATCGAAGCAAGGGTTAAGGGTAGATACCATCAAGATTTGAATTTTCATAAGTTAATGAGTAAGGTAAGGGACTCAAAGTGTCTATTCTTGGTCAAAGAAGTGTAAAGATGGGATAAGTTTGATACCTACTGTCCCTGAAGGTAACTTACTACACACAGGCTTGTTTTTCTGTCAAAAGCCACCATTAAGGCAAGCCACAGAACAAAACAAATTTATAGTACATTTTCCAGAAAGGATTCATAGCCAATATTTATATAAGGAACTTGTAAAACTCAAAAGAAACAAACAAAACCAGACAACTTCATTTTAAAAAGCCGAACAGTCATAAGAATTGTTTCTAGAGGGAAGCCTGGGTGGCGCAGTTGATTAAGTGTCTGACTCTCGATTTCGGCTCAGGTCATGATCTCAGGGTTGTGAGATGAAGCCCCATATCGAGCTCCACACTGGGCATGGAGCCTACTTAAGATTCTCTCTTTCCTTCTCTCGCTATAAAAAAATTAATTAATTTATTGAAAAGGACTCTTTCTAGGGCTGGGGCAGGAAATACAAGCCGAGAGCATCTTGTAATGTCAGAAAGTGACACACACGCAAAACAATTAGGGGCATAGCTAAAGAGTACA